AGACATATCCAATCGATAACACACAGGAATACGTTCGAAAGCATCTTATTTGATCAACACCATGCATTCGATAACGACGAAGCAAGCAACAGAGAACAAATGCCGAAGGATTTTACAGAGTACTGTGTATCTCAATGCCACTAACACTAATGTAAGCCTATCTTCTCTATTATTATTATCATTACTATTTATTATTATTATTATTATTATTATTATTATTGTGATTATTTAAAGATAGTAATATTGTTTATTATTATTAATTTTCAATTTATTTTGCATATAGTCAGCAGATAACAGTTTGTTTTGCTTCGAAAGTGTGTATGCAATAAAGAATATCATAATTGCTGATATTTCTTGCTTGATCTTATCTCGACCATCACTTTCTACTCCAAAACACTTTACGCCCGAAAGTACTTCCACCATTTCTTGCAAGCGTAAAACGCCCCATCAAGATTCAATGAGATACTATTTTGTGCAACAATGACATCGTGGTTTGAAAAGACCTGGGTGTAATATGCAAAAGTATGTGTTAGAATGTGCAGTACTTAATTTATTTTTTTGATTTGCGTGACCGTTGTTCCTTTGAATGTGGTCTATGAATGGTTTCTCGCGTAAGAATTCCAGCCTTATTTTGGAAATAAGTGGATAACTAATATACTTACCCATGTGCACAATGCCATCACCACTCATACTCTCAATCCCCAACCCTATCTTACAGCATGAACACACTGCTTCTCCACTTGTCAATACGTCGATGAGATACATCACGATGATCGGTGCGTGATATTTTAGGAACCGATATCAATGAAATTGTTTGGAGGTATTTTATATTACATGTGTATATTTGATGCTTTAGTTATCTGTGCAGGCTTGAGATACTAACAATTGAAAGCCATATGTAGGGTTCAGGTTGTTGGGATTTTTTGAGATGAATTTTCATTGTGTGAGATGGATTTTCAATTACAGATTGGTTCCTCTGTCTTTTCATTTCCATTTTCAAAGTTTTTTTTCCACAAAATCCTCTTCATTTCTATCACAGTGTCATTTTTACTTCAAAAGAAGCGGTGAGTGCTACCTGATAACTCTCTGATTATTATGAGTCTAACAATCGCTTGTTTGATTCCAAGTACCTCTAATAGCTTCATTAAATTGTCAATTTGGATCATAAAACATCCCGTATTTAGTGCTTGAGCAAGCTGGGACATTTTTCATTTGTCTTGCTGTAAAGTTTTGGAATCATGTAATCGCTGAAGTCTTATCACTGTGCATATCAATGTATACATTTTTTTGAAGTTCCTTAATTGTAAATGTCTTCAGCTGTAAAGATCCTAGATAACTGAAGTATGAAGTTGAATATAGCGTTTCCAACTACTGGATGTCAAAAGGTTTTTGAAATCGATGATGAGAAGAAGTTACGAATTTTTTATGAGAAAAGAATGGCCCAAGAAGTTGAGGCTGATGCGTTAGGAGATGAGTGGAAGGTACATTTTTGCTTAATCTTTATATGTTTGAGTTTTTAGAAAGTTTTATATTCAGAATTCTGCCACACTTTGACAGAGTTCTCCATCAATATTTTATTCTTGCTCTATTTAAGTTTTGATAGCTTTATCTTTTTCTGTTGAGCCATTCATGATACCGGTAATTACATTAAAATGACATTTGGTATCCCATTAATCTGAAAATCGTAAGGTTCTAGTTTTTTAGTTTCACAATACCGAAAAAGTTTATCACAGGATTACGTTTATGTTCACAGGGGTACATTTTGCGAATCACTGGTGGTAATGATAAGCAAGGTTTTCCAATGAAGCAAGGTGTCTTGACTAATGGACGTGTACGTTTATTGCTGTCAAAAGGACACTCATGCTACCGTTCACGTCGTGACGGAGAACGCAAACGGAAGTCAGTTCGTGGCTGTATTGTTGATGCAAATCTATCTGCCCTTTCATTGATTATTGTAAAAAAAGGTATTAGAATTTGTTTAGTTTTCAATAAAGTTGGTTAAGTGAAGGAAAAAGGTAGATATCCATATTGTTTAGAGAGTCAACAGTGTTTCAGATTATTGTTTCAGGTGAACATGATATCCCAGGTCTAACAGACACTACAGTTCCCCGCCGTTTGGGTCCCAAGCGAGCCTCAAAAATCCGCAAGTTATTCAACTTGACGAAAAATGATGATGTTAGGAAATACGTGATCCGTCGCAAGCTACCAGATAAAGGAGGCAAATTTAACACTGCTATATTTGATTTTAAATTGAGTTTGATTAATCTAGGTAAACTGTAATGTTTGATGATTGAACAGACATTGAAGTAGCGAACGTTTCATTATCTTGCTCTTGAGCGTATGTTAAAAGTTGGCAACGGGATAGTTCTTTACGTGCGTCATTTTGTTATCTGTAATATCTTGGCTTCATCTAATTTTGCATATTTTGTGTGAAGGCAAACCACGCAGTAAAGCGCCAAAGATCCAACGGTTGATAACACCTGTAGTGTTACAACGTAAGAGGAGGCGTTTAGCGCTTAAGGTAAAACGAAGTGTAAAACGGCGTGAGGAAGAAGCTCAGTACCGTAAAATGATGATGCAATATGCAAAGGTTGCTTTACTTTGCTTTTTGAAACATTAAGTGCCATGCAGTACGACACATTACTTCTAAAAAATTTTGGAAGAATGGAATTATTCGGAATAAAGTTTTTAGGAAAAACAAGCTGCCAAAACTGCCCGTCGCTCAACAGCATCACATCATGAATCAGAATCAGCAAAGCACAGCAAAAGCAGTTAGATAGACATGCTTAAAACTCCTTTATCTCTGTTTTATTTTGTTTCACTATAAAGAAATAAAGTTGTTATTATTCAGTTATCCTGGCTTTTCACTTATCGCTTCATATCATTCATGATGTGGTTACAAATCAAAAGAAATGTGGGAAGGAATATTATACTGCTTTAACAGTTTATTCTCATCATATCTACTAACATAAACGAGGAAATTGCAAATGAAAATTAGGCATATTTTATCAGGTTAGAAGTATTGGTGGATTGTAGAAACAAGCATCAGGAAACCAGTGAAACAAAACAGGTATCAGAAGTGAGAATGTCCTTTTGCTGTGGGAGTGTTATTTCTTTTTCATGTCAGCGACTGCACGCTGCACAGCAAGTACAGCTTCTGCTTCGAACTCCATATGTTTTTCTTGTGAGTAAGTGTACAGTGAGTTGAGCATTATTTTCTAAAATACAAGTTCAGTCCTAACTGCTTAGCTTTGCAACACATTGCTGTCATTCAACTGGCATCAAGGTAATCTGTTTGAGTGTACATGAGATTACATAAATAACAAACCAAGTCTGATTCAGTAATTGGGTCGACACAAAATTTCTCTGATGTTATAACATCCCACTTTTTCTCATAATGAGGACGAATAGACGACGGTGCATCCTCATCATCAATAAATATAGCTTTTGCAGTTATTGTTGGCAGAAATGCACCATACAACTTGACAATTGTACCTAACACTTCGTTACATTCCGTTTCATTGTCTCCTTTACAGTACGACTTACCGACAAGTGTTGCGATCGCAACAGACTATAAAATAATACGACTTATCAAATCATTACGTAATGAGAGCGTCATAAAATAACACAGTACAATGAAGGTTGTGAATCTACATAAGTCTTGCTTTTACTCATTCTTTACAAATTACAATCTTTATTATAGCATTACAGTGTTATGCACAGAATGAGACTCACTTTAGCATCGTGAGCTTGAGCGCTTATACGTCCCCATATTGTTGGATCACAGCAAACATACTGACTGTCACAGGCAATACGCATGCTGCTACTTTTACATATAAATGCACCACATAAGCGACATTTCAAGTCATAGCTGAAATACCGAATACTTCATTTCTAGTTAAAAAAGATATGTTTTTCAAGGATGGAACGAACGAAAATGTGCCAAGACTAACTGGAATAAAGAAAATCCTAAGTCACATCGCGAAGCATAACTTTCTCCTCTGATAACTAAGTTTCAGTTTTTCAATTCAAAACCCTAATCAAATTAGGGAAAAAATGAAGGAAAACTATGCTATTAGCATAAGCAGGGAATGTACCATTTGCCTTCCAGTACACGCTTTCTTTCCTTCTCTCTCAATATATCTGCTTCTTGAAGAGCTTTTGTTTGATTAATTTTATTTTCTACCTGAAATATACATTCTTCATGGCACTCTAATGTGAGTATGCACAGCATTACTCTGACTTGCATGCTGACATTTTTTTGTATGTGAGCAGCTATTAATAGCCATTTCACTGCTTTTAAACTCATTTTTATTAAATTCAAGACAAAATGAATTTAAAAATTATAAAAATGAAATTATTCTCTATTAACAAAACTTCGTCTATCCTTTCCTTTAACTAACAAATTGGAATGAATTGAAATATAATCGCTGCTTACGAATAACATTTTTGTTATTCTATATTTTTCTTACAACAATCTAGTATATCATGATGAAACTTAAATTTGCTAAGAAAACATGTACTTCCGCCAAGTTTTAGGAATAAAGTAATTACAAAACCCGTCAAATATATTTGAATCCAGCTTAAATTCTCCAAACCAGAACAGGTAATGAAAGTTTCATAAACAACAAGGTATGTAAACTCGCCATCTGCCTCATTTGCCTTTCCGACATCGTTTGCATATGCTCCAAGCAACGTCTCATCAAAAACTCTTTCTGGATATTTTCTAATTCTCTCTCTTCAATAGAACCATCCAACGCTATCAAGACCGATTTGCTATGCTTTGCTCGAGCTCGACCTACATTATTTATTCAGCTTAATAGATCAAAAATGAACCTGTCATGACACTTGGAAATTGACAAGCGAACTTGTATCACCGTATAAATTAGTTATCAAACTATTTAAATAAAAAACAGTGATGTAACGAAAACTGACCTCTTCGTTGGATAAGTGATCTTTCTGAACCAGTGTTGTTGTATTTAATTATTAAATTACAAGCTGATATATCCAAGCCTTCTTCAGCAACCGATGTAGCAACTAAAACTTTGATTACTCCCTGATTAAACTTTTCAATCGTTACACGCTGTTCATCAGTTGTTTGACCACTGCTTGCAGTTGACTGATTTGAGCCTGGAAGTCATTATTAATTTATGCTACTTCTTTATAATGGCGTTTACCTTTTTAAAGGCATACTTTAATTAAATTTCAATTGTTCCGAAACAAAAATACTAAAAATGTAATATCAAGAATACTTTGATGCACTTACTGGTAATGTATCCAACCGCACGATTCGAGCCATCTACAACTCGTACATTGTTCAAATGTGTTGATAAACACTGAGCTAATTTACGCGTTGTTACAAAAATTATCGTCCTGGATGTTGGATCAGAAATGTACTGATCACGTAAAATCGTATGCAAAATTTTTAGGATTTCTTTCTCTTCACCATTATCACTTTCTTGAAAATTTAGCTCATTCGGTTTCATAAATTCTGAAACCTAACAAACAATCGATTTCAATAACTTTCTTGCCATAACTTCAGAACTAGTATGATTCAAATTGTTGCTGACGTTAAAGAACTCATAAAAAACAAAAAATTGAAAGGAAAATTGTAAACAATTACATAATCATTAGCATAACTATGATTTTAAAAAACAAGTGTGTTTCACTTGTTTTTTAAAATCATAGTCATGCTAATGATTATGTCACAACATACTTTCAAAAAGCTTTTCTAACTGAACTTGAATCGAACATGTATCTCCAACATCACCATGAGCAATTTCTTCCTTCATATTATCGCGCAAATAACAATAAGCATACCAATTTGGTAACAAATCAGCCAAACTAAGAGCACGACAGTAATACTGGAAGTAAAACGAAATATAATTTCTAAATTAGAGCACAACCATTTTTCCGATAAAAATTTGTTTTACAGCTAGCATTAAAAACTTGGCGAAAAATGAGCTTACTCCAAGATGATTCAGCATTTTCATAATCTGGTGTTTTACTCTGCTACCAGGAAGTTCTCCTATACGATTTTTCAAGCTTCCAACGAGACTTTCATAACGCACTGTACTTTTTTGCGAAGGGAATGTAATGTCATCCTAAATTTAGTACATACGCATAACAATTATGAGTAGATTTCCGATCCTGTCTAAATCTGCAACAAAAACTACTTTTGTTCAAAGTTTTTATCCTCACTTTCCTCGGGCAAAAAAGCACAGTGTGTCAG